GTCACTACCTGAGACCCAATCGAGGCCTTATCAGCCTCAACTTCAAAATCCTTTCGATCGATAACATGAGCCGGCCTTAATCATCCTTCACGCATCCATAATGTTATCATCAGAAGAGACAAAGCTCATAGACCGTGTCCTCTCCATTCCTAGATCTCAAAATCCGTACCTGGCCGCTTCAGTTTACTTGAAAGAGGCTGTAGACGTGAGTGATTTCTTTTTGACCAGAGTTTTGTTTGGTTTTGGCCACACACCAATTCACATGTATTCGCACCATCGATGATTCAGACACCAAAATTGAACCCATGGGCGCGTCATTTGCTAACAGCTTGCCTATTTGCGTACTTTATGTAAGCACAAATCTCTCTGATCAATAATATCCCGTACTTTTACTTACATTTGGTCAATTTTAGTATGTATATACAATGTTTTCACTTGATATATATCAGAGTGAAGACCAAGACCTTTAGACTCTTTCAGACCACAGAGCGTAAGTAGTGATGAGATCCAAGTTGAATGCTACCTACCTATATGCATCTTATTGACTATCCATGCTGTACAATTCTGTGATCCACAACACCAAAAGGTAAGTTTGATCGTTTATAAATACATCTAGATAGATGTTTTACTGACTTACTATATCACCACTCAGTTGGACTCATACGTTTAGACGTGCCAAATGTTTCCGGGCTGGTGTACTTTCTGTTCTGCCCTCGTAAGCGATTGTCTATTCGTATTGGAGATCGCGTTTCATTTTGAAAGCGTAGGTCAAGAAGCTGATGATTTTTAAATAGTGGTAATTGCCGACTTGATCTTACAGCTCGAATATGAAAAAGGTCATCGAGATCTGGGAGGGAGAATCGCATTACTTGGTTGTAAATTCTTAGTATTACTAACATGCTCATGGTTAGGATTTCTTTTTAAATTCTGAACAATCAGATATCAAAACTAAATCAAATGTTTGTTTGTTTGTAGGTGTAGGTGAACTCTGATCTATATGCCATCTACAACCAATTCAAAGAGCTCATGTTCGCCTTTTCTTCTCATCGCTGTAGGTTTTCTCTGGGTCTGTGCTTGTCAATGCATTGCCTCAATGTGGGGAGAATCAGCTTCTTGGTCTCGGGCAGTACAATCTCGTCGCAGAGTTCGATTTCCTCCCATACTTCGATGGATGTTGAACATTAGCTTTGTGACCGTTTCACTAGCGCCAGTATGTACGCGTCATATCTCGATATCATATTCCGATTTCCAACCAACCATGATGCGGTTATTGATAAGGATACATTCTTTAGTACCGATGGTCTGGTCTCTTACTAGGAACGATATGCTTTTTAATCGTTCAAAAGAAATTACACAAACGATGAGAAACACATTGCATTCTGTGGCCCCTAGCTATGACCCCAAGACATATACTCCGGTCCAGGTTTTGCAGCTGTTGGCGCCTGCCGCGGAATTAGTGGAGATTAGGGTGAGCTAAGCGGCAATGATCTGCTTAAAATTGATTACAACCTATTTATAACTTATCCTTTCATAGGATGATATCGCGAGAATGTTTAGGGTGGCCATCATAACTGCACTGGTTGACTTGTCTTTATTGAGTATTGTGAGTACAATGTCTTTGTGACGCTTCCATTAATTATATGTCTATGAATCTTGATGAGCTTAATCAATCGTTTGTATCAATGACCATCGTGATAGCTTTACGCTCCATTGATCTATGCTACCCTAAAAGTGTTACGAAAACGAAGCAGAGAGCTTCGTTTTACTTTTGCGACTGCTACAGCTGATAAAGCCGATCAATTTGCCCACATCAAAGCCCGCCTTGAGGAAGAGCATAGTACGATTGTACATCATGCTTGGTCGGCTTATATCACCACTGTTAGCTTTATACCGGTCTTGGCCTGGCTGGTGGGTATTCTAGTGACGTATGAACTTATAAATTTATCAAACTGATTCCGTCCTCTCAATCACTTCAAAAGTTCACATACAAGGATCCTAGTTTTGTTCAAAGTAAGAATTGGTACACGATTTTACTGATTGTGAGTTACAAATTTGACTGATGATAGATTGAGAAGTGTTAATGAGAGGCCTGATCATCTATCAAATTATCATCAGGGATTACATGTGCCGTTTGCCATCAGTGGAAATGTGTAAGTGACTTTAGATGCGATGATTGTGATGATAGTGATTTTACTTGCCTATCAACTGACAATGTTTTCGACGTGAAATAAACGCATCTCAAATAGCATTGAACTCATTCTGAACCTCCAAGCAAGAAGACTACTCAAGACCTATCAAGCACGTGAAAGGATCTGCAATAAGAGTTCTTGCGATAAGGGTTCTTCAATTTAATTCTTTTTGGTCTCTTCATGATCCTTTATCTAACTCAAAGAAGTGATTGTTTTGGTTCTTTTCATTACAAAAAGGCAGCCTTGTTCATGTTCTTCCATGTTCTTACATATCTGATGGTAGAGATTCCTACCCAATCTTTACGATTCACTCATTCATTATAATCACTATTTAAGGAAGCAAAGCTCTTGAATTCGAATTGATCGTTTTTTCTATGAAATCACTCTTATGTTATATCCACAAGAATCAATGAATCTGAGATTGAATGCACATCTGAGTATAATCACG